ACTGTTATCCTTCAAATTCAACAATAAGGTTAGAGGGCTAGTAGGATTGAGAAATGACTGCTGTCATCTATCTTAGGTGCAGAATCCATTTTTAAATGAAAAAGAATTACCATGTGAATCATCACTTTAAAGGAAGCACTTTACTCTCAGGTTTTCTTACACTAATCTTCCAGTCATCAGCCACCCTATAAACAGTATGTTTTGCATTCACAAATGTAACATCTGACAGATCTCAACATATCTTGCCAACATGAAGCCTGAGGAAAATTTTAAATTTTAAATAAATCATCACATATCAATTATCTCCAGGGAGGCAGCAGGAAAAAAGCCAAACAGAGGTTTGTTACTTTTTCCTGCTAACATTTCCAAACTCCTGATGGCTTCTGGATAATTAGCCAAAGTAGTTCTAAGAATGTTAGCTTTTGAGTTGATTTAAAATGTCCCTTGCTAACAATATTCTGAAACTACAACAGAATAGTTCTTTGTAAATTGAATCACAATGCTTATCAAGTTGGATCTTTTGTGGCTTTCTTAAGAAAATCCTGAAATCCTACATGTAAAAAAAGGGAATGGTAAAGCTCTTGTGATACACAAATATCTGTAGAAAAAGCCAAAAATACCATAAAAAATAAGCATAATTGAAACATGATTGATACATCCCCCAAGCGCACAAAGTACAAACAACTATGTGGAAGTAACTACTATTCACTACCTCTTAAGAAGCTCACCTCCAGATTGCCTAAAACACTTTTAAAATGCATGGATATTAGCTTCTCAGCATCCTTGTTACCAATTTATCTTCAATTTGTTTTCATGGTGTTCTGCAACCTTCATTAAATTACTAGATCTCCATATTACTTATTGTGGAGGTTTGGTGCACAAATATAAATAAACTATAATAAATAATTGCCTATAATTTTGTAACTTACAGATAAATAAGAACAGCATGTAATATAGCTATTTTCAGTATCATACAGGTAAATGTGGCATAAATTTGAAATGAAGAGTAAACATATTTATTTTTTCTGGTGTCTTACTCCATCATTTATTAGGCTGATGCTACTCATTCTGTTTTATACTCCACCTTTTTTCTCTGTACGGTCCCTTACAATAGCAAATTAATAAAATTTATATTTAAATTGATTATTTCAGAGTGAAACATTAATATTCAAATGAAATATATTGCTTTTGTGGGCTTCAGGGGAGGAAAAAAAACCTTTTATGCTGAGCACAATGAAGAAGTGATAGGCGTTTCTGTTATCTCATTCATTTGTCATTCTGGACAGTTTAGACAAGCTGTTACCTACAATAATAGAGAGCATTTTACTTTTTTAAAGATTAATTTAAAGTATACTTTATACTAAACTGCAGCAAACCAATTATTTATACATTTATTGATTCTGACAAAATAGATATTTGCATTTTTCCTAAAGGAATAACTAATATTCATACTGCTGTAGCCAGGAGTCTGACATAAGGTGTGACAAGCAACATATTCTGGCTCTGTGGGAGGATGATCAACTAGGTCAAAATGTGCACTTTTCTAATAAGCTTGTAAAATGTTTTGAAAATTTATAAAGTTGGCAGGAAACAGGAAAAATCTCATGACTTTTTAAATTTATCATCTTATGAGCTTTATTTCATTCAACTTCTATCACCATCTCTTCTCTGCAAAACTCCTGTTCTGAATTTAAACCCACTACCCCTTTGTTTTTTCAGAGATGTCTTTCAATTTCCTTCATTGATAGTATCAGAGTATGGAATCAAGCACAGGTACTACATCAGTCCTAAACATCATTTTGCAAGATCTGATCAGCCACATCTAAACTTCCATATTTGCATAGTAGACAGTAACATCGCCAAAAAAATGTAACATTTAACAATCATCAACTTGCTTACCACCTTTGACTTTTCAATGGAGTCTATACTTCACAAAATAACAACAAAACCCAAACTATCAGCAAATATTTATCCATTATGCTTTTTTCTATCTTCATCAATTTTCTATGCTGCCCTTTTAAAACAGATATAAATATAGAATATTTATTTAAGGAATGCATGTGTTAATCCAAACCAATCATTAAAAGAGGAAACAAACACTCATGACTGGAGAAGGTTAAGTACGAAACCATGTTTGTTTCAGATATGCAAAAAAATATTTTAATCTCAATTATTCTAGCATCATTAAAGTCTGAGCACTATCACTAACGTCCTATTTGTTAGCTAGCACCTAATTCACTTGGTCACAAAGGAGTGAAAAATCAAATTTATATTGATGGCAACATAAGCATCAGAAAGGAATGAACTGGCTTGTAAAACACTGGCTGTATCCGACTCCTTCCCATACAAGTCTATTCTATCTGTCTCTCTTTTCTGCTAGATCCTGTCCAAGCTGGACCTCATACCAAAGCTGTTTATTTCATCTCCCAGTCTCACACTGCCTCCTGACTTGCTGGAGAATTCACAGGAGCTTTGTTTCAGGACTCAGGTTTTGAAGAAAGAGAGAGACATGTGGACACCGTTCCACTCACCAGTGTGCGTTAAGCAGCAATCTGAGCCATCAGATATTCTCTTTGTGAGAAGAAGGCTGTATAAATGTTTAATAATTAGCTCTTTTGGCTCACAGCAGAGTCATTCCCTTGTGAATTTAAAAGCTTAAGCTGTGAACTCTATTCTTTTTCAAACTAGGATTAAATCACAGGTGGATAATAAATTTCCTTTAAGTTAAGTTGAAAAGTTATGAAATATTTTCAGATAACTGTTAAGGAAGACGTTTGGCAGATTATGCTACAAGGAATTCATTAAGTATCTGAAATTTTTTGATAGTCAATCTCTCAAATACCCTGGTAATTCACTTAAGTCTGGACGTTTGTTTATATAAAAATGTAATCTGCTTCTTCTTGGAAGACATTTTTCTTTATAAACTGGGATAAAATGAATGTTATATTTCATTTTTGCTAGCTTTTCAATATGATTGATGCAGACCTTTAATGCGTTAATTTTACAACATGAATTCATATTCAAATAGATGATCTTGTAAGAATGATGAACAGCTCCAAATATGCAACAGTGAAGATCTGAACTATCCCTTTCTCCCCCTCTTTTCTCTCCCCTCCCTTGAAAAAAGACTCCATGGAAATTATTAGCACTTTTGATTTCTGAATACCTTATCTAAGGAGGTAGCTACAAGGTAACTGGAACCAGAACTATAGTCAGAACTGAAAAAGCAGTCTGAGAAAAATTCAAAAACTAGATTAAAAATAGTTATGCATGTATGACAATTTTTTCTTCCTACTAAAGAAATTAATATTGACTTACCTTGTGTATTCAAGATAGTATAAAATCTAGTAAACATGTTTTACCTACTTTGTTGAACAGGTTATACTGTATTACAGAGGTCTCATACCCAGATCATGAGACACAGGAAGTAGTGCAAGTCCTTACTAAACAGTAGTTAGGCAGAAACATCTTACATCTGAGACACTTAAACCTCCATAAGTATAACATGGGTTAAAACGGTGCTGACCCAATCCCCCCACATCACTCCCAACCCCAATCTGTGTCCTTCCAAGAGCTCCTACAACCTACCAATCCATCACGGACCACATGCTGTCACAGAGAGTCACAGAGCTAACAACAGCAATATTGAAACAGCAGTTTGGAGGAGCTTGCCAACATTTACCAGCTAATAATTTACCAGCTAATAACTGTGGCACAATTAGTACGTGTGCACTGTCATCCACATCCTGCCTTCTCATTTTATCAGCAGATACGACAGCTACACGGCATGTCTCCAGAGAGTCGGTGCGGAGCCCTGTTGACATCCATGCAGCAAGATGTATATTCACAGCACTTAAGCTGGATTCCTGGTGTGCCTGTGATATGCAGTTGAAGAACCATATTCTCATTGGGCATATGTCCAACTACAGTCAGTTGAGCTGGGCTTTAATATAACAGCTGTGCTTCAGAACCAACATGTTTGATAGCCAGAGAAAACCTGGCAAGTACTCTGAATGAAATGCATTTGTCCCTAACAAGTACTATATTGAAGCATCCTACTCCTAGACTTGTTACCCTTCTAATGCATCTGGTAAAATATCATAGTTATTCTGTATCGAGCCTCACCTAAAGTTAGGCTACAGGCTTGATGGCTATTGAACACAGGATAGCCACCACAATTTTGTATAAAGAGTATGCAAACACTTTTTCCAGGAATCAAAAAAAAATGCTCTGCCAGGGCTATTAGAGAAGAAACCTGTGTCAAGAACTAACTCTATTCAGAGTCCAAGATAGATAAATCATGAGATTTATTGTGCTCCCTTCCTTTCTTGCACCACTTCTGTGCCACATATTGAATGATCCAACTGAAGAGCTCAACAGAGCATCTTGCCAAAAGCAGACAACAGTTCCCATAGAAAGATTCACAAGCAAGACCTCCAAAATCTGGAGCTAAGCATATCACTTAAGAGTGTGATGGGGATAATATAACTGAATCAAGTATAGTAGGACTAATGGCGTGATTGCAAATCAGGACTATAACATAACTAAAAATCCACTTCTGATTTTTTTTTTTTTTTGCTTGAACTTACTGCTCAAGTTATTTAAAGCTGAAAAGTAATGTCCAACAGGATAAATTAATATGAATTTCTCTTTCAGCCAAAACCTTCAAAGCAACAGCTCTTTTTTTTTTCAATTTTTATTCCTGTTATGTCGAATTGTTGTCTTCCTTCCCCTCTCCACCCCATATTCCCACACAAAGTTACCCATTTGTAAATATTTCAGTGTAACTTCTTCCTCACCACTTTCATTCTTTGAAAATTCACTCTTGGCAAAAAGGGTGGAATAACCATCCAACCAAAATACAGCATATTAAAAAGGTCAAAGAACTATAGCAAGATATCATAAATCACAAAATAGAATGGGCATTAAAATTCTGACACGTCTTTGTCGGGACCAAAATTGTAACTAGAGTGAGAAATTATATGGAATTAGCTTCTTACTGATATGCTCTGAAGACTGTAATTTCATGGTGCCTGGATGTCATTTTCAGAACCTTCTGCCTCTTTGCAGTCTTGTAGGCATGCATTCAGCTGTCATCTGGGGCACTTGAGATAAGTAGGGGAAAAGAAGAGATACATAAATGTTTTACTCGGAGCAAGAAGTCATGCTAGTTTTCAAAATTACCGTAATTTTTTAGTATTGTTTCTGCTGACGTCAGAAATCTTCAGGAGATGCCTGATCTCCTCCTGTTGGATGTGCAGTACTGAGTCTCACTTGAGAGAATATTATGCTCACTGAGAGAATATTATGCTTTAGGAAAAAAGTAGATCTTAATGTTGATTTGTCTCACATTGCTTCCTTTCTCTTTAGCCCAACAGAGCAAATAGGACACAGCAGAGTTAATCCAACTCATCAAATCCAAAAGCATGATGTGAAGGACTCCTAAATCCCTTAAGTGACAGTATAAGAGCTGAAGTATTAAATGACCAGCAGTAAGTCTCACTTTTTGTTAAGGTGATGCCACTTTTGAGGATCATTCACTTTAATTAAAGCACACAATGAGGATTACTCTGCTGGCATCTTGTTGATTTAGGTGATCTCTGTTTATAGTGTTTATAAACAAACCTCTGTTTTCCAGTTTGATGGCTTCATTTTTTCCCTATACTGTTTTATGTCTTTCCTTTCATGCTTCTTGTGCTAGAGGTAAGGGACTGACATCAACATGACTAACATGAATTGTATTGAGTCTTAAAATTCACAGAACCTGAAAGACTTACAAATGCGAAGAAAGCTGGAGTAGGAGAGAGGAACAGAAAGAATAAGAAGCAGAATATATCAGTTTAAGCATACCACCCTGATCACACAGATGTGCTGCTGCTGCATGGGAGCTGGATCACATAGAAATCTCAAGGAGCACAGGTAGAAGAGGTCATGTACCTCTTCACTAGTAGACATAATCTACATTATTGTAACAACAATAAGGCTACTGTAATGGAATAGGGAACACACTTTGACAGTGCAAAAAGCAGAGGGAGAAGAAAGTAAGCAAACCAGACAAGGGAGGGAGTAAACAACATTAGAGGTGTTTGGATGCAGCAGTAGTGAGTTTCACTGTGCTGGAATCTCACAATGGATGTGAGATACAGTGCTACCACTTCACTGAGGAGCAAAAGCTTTGGATATTCAGTTACATTAGAAAGTACAGAAAGAGAGTATAGAAACCGTTTCAGTTACATTAGAAAATATTGATAGAGAGTATTGAAACAATTTTGGTTTAGGGTGAGTGCTGAATGAGGTGGGCAAGAAAATTCCTGTGTTGTATAATTCATTTTGTTGCAAAATATCAGTGAAAAAAAAATATGCTAATGCTGAATGGAATATTTTAGCTCATAAAGGAAATAAATGAAGATAAGTCAAAACTGACTAGTTCTGAGCACAGCCAGATATATTATTCCTTTGTGCATGTTAAATGCCCAGTTACCTCAAGGTTTTCTTGAGAGACATGCTTTTATTTTTTAGCTATGGCAATTCTTAAGCACCAAATCTAAAAGATTAACCCTCTTATGGATAAATTATAGCAGAGAGTTTTAAAGGCACTGTATGGTTGTACCTTGTTCAGTAGCTTGAAGTACCATGCTGTAAAGTGATGCAGCCCCGGGATTTGTGCAGGTGATGCAGAAGCGTATTTCCAGTCTGGCTTTGCCTCAGGGCACTCCAAGTTACAGCCTACCAAGGTGTGCAAGTCAGATCACAGCCCGCATCTAGCCAAAAAAACCTCAACCACCACATGAACCCAGCATTACTGAGCAAAGATTTCCTTTGCTTTTCAAAGAAGAAATGTGGCCATCTAATTCAATAGTTGTTGAAAACTACTTACTTAAATAATTAATTTGAGATCATTTGCTTCACACACTGCAAGTAAAAGACATGTGTTACAGGAAAAATGGCAAAATAGAAGGGTATTTTCCCAAATTTTTTTTTTTTTTTTCTTATATCCATCTGGGACTATTCTCCAGCAGTACAGTTTATAGGAGGCTACATCATACTATATGAGTTCCACCTAGTTATTACACTCAAACAGTCTATAAGTCACTTGTTTCATTTCAGATTAAAATCATTTTGTTCTAAAGGAGATTTTAGGAGTAAGCCGAGTACTGAATGTAATACAGTTTTATACATCTATATGTTATTTATTAAGACCCCATAAAAGTGGTAAACCACAACCCTAAAAAAGGTAAAGCAAAGCTTGTGTTTGCAATCCAGTGTCCCAAAGGTATGATTATCGCCTGATAAACATATCTCCCTCTCTTGCCTTATTGCTAATTAAATTAATTAATTAAGGAAGATTTTCCCCAAGAAGACTTGATTTAATACGCTGCATGTAATTAGCAGCTCTTGGAAATGGAGATGAGATGATTTCTCCCTTCTTTGTGGCACAGACAGCGCCCTCCAATTTTGCAGAGGCAATGAGTTCTCAAGCTTTTTATTTTGTACTGCAGCAGTACAGAAACTGCCAACTTGTGAGGCACCGGCTCTGCCACCGCAAAGTACACCTTTATGCCTTTGTCTACAGTGATGCCTGCTCATCAGTAATAGGAAGTGGGTATATATTGTTGAAAAAGGCAGAACTTGATTTTAAAAAGAAACAAATGCCAAGACAGAAAAGAAATCGCATCATTTTTGCTTGAAAGCTTGTGGTGTTTATGATAAAGATACTTCCTCCATCTCCTCCTTTGCCAAACTTGTCAGATAAAGACCTATATAAGAGTAGCAAATTAGAACATTTATGATTAACTGCTATCTATTTCAAAATGAAAAATAATATTTACTTCACTGAGTAAAGAAATTAAGCATTCACAATTATAAAAAGGCCATGTTGATCAAACACTTCATTTAACACTGAGGAGTACATTTTGTTATCAAAAGTATCCAGCGCTTATTATTCACAAACAGCTACTTTAAGCTGATTTTTATCATTGAACCTGCAATTCATATTGTATTATTTATATGTCATGCTATATTGCTTCTGTTCTTTGATTGGGTGACTTAAACATTTTAAAAACCCAAATTAAAGGCAAGCTAACTTTGTGTGAGTCACATGAAAATAATATTTGCTTAAGTCTGCAGCATGCCCTTATTTAATTTGACCACAAGAGCAAAATTCATTGGAAAAATGATTTTCAAATAGAGAAACATTTTAAATCAGTAAACAAAATGAAATGTTATGAATTATTAACTTTTTGTATTTTGTCTACTAAAAATGTTACAGGTGGATATTGAATAGACAAGAAAATCAGAGATTACATTAAAAATTCTTAGCAACTCTAAAAATACACACAAAGGTCTTCTATTAGAAGTTATTCCAAAGGGATATTTTTCCATTTTTTTTCACAACCACATAGGTTAATAAGTCAAATGTGATATAATGAAATAGGATAAAATGAAAAGACAGCCTGCTAAAACTGTGGAAGAAAAGTGGAAGCATGACACATCTACTACACCATAGAATCATAGAATAGTTAGGGTTGGAAAGGACCTTAAGATCATCTAGTTCCAACTCCCCTGCCATGGGCAGGGACACCTCACACTAAACCATGTCACCCAAGGCTCTGTTCAACTTGGCCTTGAACATAAAGGGATGGAGCCTTCACAACTTCCCTGGGCAAACCATTCCAGTGCCTCACCACCCTCACAGGAAAGAACTTCTTCCTTATACCCAATCTAAACTTCCCCTGTTTAAGTTTTAACCAGTTACAACTTGTCCTATCACTACACTCCCTAATGAAGAGTCCCTCCCCAGCATCCCTATAGGCCCCCTTCAGATACTGGAAGGCTGCTATGAGGTCTCCACGCAGCCTTCTCTTCTCCAGCCTGAACAGCTCCAACTTCCTCAGCCTATCTTCATACAGGAGGTGCTCCAGTCCCCTGATCATCCTCGTGGCCCTCCTCTGGACTTGTTCCAACAGTTCCATGTCCTTTTTATGTTGAGGACACCAGAACTGCACACAATACTCCAGGTGAGGTCTCATGAGAGCAGAGTAGAGGGGCAGGATCACCTCCTTCGACCTGCTGGTCACGTTCCTTTTGATGCAGCCCAGGATACGGTTGGCTTTCTGAGCTGTGAGCACACACTGAAGCCAGCTCATGTTCATTTTCTCATCGACCAGCATCCCCAAGTCCTTCTCCGCAGGGCTGCTCTGAATCTCTTCTTCAGTTCCGTAGCCCCATCATAGAAGGCCACCAAATTGGTCAGGCAGGATTTCCCCTTCGTGAAGCCATGCTGGCTGTCACCAAGCACCTTGTTGATTTTCATGTGCCTTAGCATGCCTTCCAGGAGAATCTGCGCCAAGATTTTGCCAGGCACAGAGGTGAGACTGACTGGTCTGTAGCTCCTTCAGTCATCCATTTTCCCCTTCTTGAAAATGGGGGTTATATTTCCCTTTTTCCAGTCATTGGGAACTTCATCCGACTGCCATGATTTTTCAAGTATGATGGACAGTGGCTTAACATCTTCATTCACCAGCTCCTTCAGGACCTGTGGATGGATTTCATTAGGTCTCATGGACTTGTGCACATTCATGATGATAGATTCATCTGCTAATATTCTAAATATCTTTCAATTTGTTACTTTGCCATTAGATCTACCATTCCTTTTATAAACTAGTTTATTTTTTAGACACATATACACACCGCACATTTTCTGATATAGTATATAGGAGAAGGCAATGGCCAAGCAGCTGGTGAGGCATCTTTCAGTTGCTCAGTGTGCTACCATTTCTTTGTCAACTACCTTTGACCTCTTCCTCTGCCTGCTAACATCTTCCTCAGATTTATTCTAGGACAGTCACCAGCCTAACACCTAGCCAGCAGCTGCCAGTGTTAAAACTTCAGGTGCCAGAAGACTGCTTCTTTGATTCAAACGTGTTACATTTTTCCTCTAAGAGACCAGGATGGGGAAGACTTGGTGATAAAATTCAGACAGATTATCCATGCCTAAAAAAGGGACTTTAAAAGCCTAACATTTTAAAGAACTACCAAGATGAAATGGATATTTGGTGGTTTTTTTTTTTAAATTTCATGCTTTTCCTAGGCTACTGACTGCCCATAGATATAAAATTCTCCACTGTAGAGCATAAAAGTAGTGCCAGT